ACTTATTCACAGCTAAACTTCTTCGGCGAAGGTATCCCCCTATCCACAACCCGGGGACGCACCTGATAGCATTCAGCTCTGCTCAATTCGTGGGTGAGTGAACAACTCACTGTATAAAACCGAAACACTATTAAGTGTGTATATATATATATATACATATATAACGCCCTCCGAAAGCCTGTGTATGGCCGCGCGGGTGGGTGTCTCCTCTTGTGGTTGGCCACCCTTCCCTTATACTTCGCGAAATGCTTCTATGCGACCAAGTGTCTCAAACAGCCTCTACCGAAAGAGAAAACGAAAAGTCAACATCCGGGGCTATAACCAAGAGAGGGCGTACAGAACACAAACACCCACACATTCCCGGTGGTGGCACCGGCTCAATTCGGCATCGAGGTATACTGGGTACGTTGGATGCTTGACCCCATCCAGAGAGCGTATGACCCGAGGAACTGGACACCGGCCCTCAATGGACTGCGGAATCTGAGCTCCGGCCAGCTGTCTTGCAAGTCTGGCTTTTTAGCTAAAGGCGTCGAGTGGAGACCTCGAGTTTATCCCCTTCCTCGGTTACCCACACAACCTATGACCGAATTGTATAGTTTCTTTCTTTATATTTTGTGGCACATTCGCCAATTCTGTGTAACTGGTTACGTGTTGAATGCATGTATATATGTCGTCACAATGCGAAATAGCGCTGAAGAGATGGGATGATTCAGCCCTCAATGGAAACGTTGTGGAATCAATCACAGATGACCGATAGACAGGCTCGGACAAAGTCGACTAATATTGCATTTTTCGAGTTGGGTTGAGTCATACGCATGCAGCTCGCGTATCATTTCCATCCAGTCGAGTTCAAACAATGGAGTGTGATTGCCCACTCAAAGTGTCCAGTGTATATACATTACCTGAGAGCAATGCGGGGATTTGATTTGATTAGACGATGAATTCGTCGTGTAAATGAGGTATGAGCTGAAAAGCACTGGACAGCAGTTGTTTCTACCTGGTTGGGTTTCATCCACAGAAGTGAGTGAATTCATCGAACCAGCTGGGGAATAGAAGCCGGAACCTCAGCGCAGACGGAATGAAAGCATGCTACCTACTCGGCCACCAGACAGCTGATCAGATCGTTTCTCATTTTGAATATACACGACAAAACAGAACGCATCTTTACGAGCTTGCTGCAGGCAACGGACCTCGCCCACTTTGGCGCTAATCTTCAGGGTTGACTCGGTTGGAAACTGACTACTTATATATATATTTATTAGTGGGTCGATAAATTCCATCGTACAGTTAGTTTCAAGTTGTGGGAACTGAGAACAAAAGATTCAAAACCAATTGTTCACAATACTTAATAGGCAGTTTCCTTACAGATTTCCTCGATTAAGAACTGAGAGAACCGAGTGTGTTAGCAATATATTGTGATCAGGTGCACGGTATTAGCAAATTGTGGTCGAACAATGAATATGTCGTCCAAGGAACGTGAATTTGGAGTGCTGAAAGGCAGGTCCTGAAGTGAGTTTTTTCGACAGGCCAAACGTTACAAAGCATGACAGCGAAACCGACTATGAATCTGGTAACTGGCATCCAAAAAACAATGGACAATGCGGGAAGGAGACGAGACTGTATCCACACACGGCACAACGGAAAATCCGAATGTCCGTTCCATTTAGAATGTGACTTTGACGTGAAACTTGCGGGGCACACGTGAGATACGCCAGGAGTCTTTCTCTTCGAATTTGCTATACAACGGTTCGATACGCATGGATTTCTTCGCTCGGGACAATTTCGTCGGATCGCCGAATTTGAAGAAATTCGGCGCGAATTCGACCAACCAACGTGGATCGATTGTAGTCACCTCACGCATGTACTCCTTCGTGGTCATGACCAATTCATGATAGACAACCCTGTGAGGAGTATAACAAAAAAGCGAAATGGTGAGTGAGAAGAGGTTTTAGCACAAGTGACTGTGACTTGGTGGTAAAGACGTTTTCACATACAAGTAAGTGATTCTCAATATGAACAAAAAAACAAAAGATTACTACTATGTTGCACGATAAACACTAGTGTTTTGGGGCAGTCCAACGTTTTCTGCGGAAGAGACTAACTAACTACTTGTTAGGGGTATTCATCCAGATGTGAAGAAACTGAGCATGTGTCTCACTAACGCTTTCTTCTACCCTCAAATGGAACGGATAAGTAACATTTACCCGGAGCTGTGCAAGAACTACCCAAACTCTTGGTATGCATGACTAGATGCGCAGTAACTGTTATTTTCAAGTTGGAAGACTATGGACAACTATTTTCTTTATGAACAGCAACTGGTGCAGTGGTTTAGTTGAGCAATGCTGACGTTCAGCACAGAGTCTTAGGTAAATGAGGTCGTCCACTGCAGCAAGTGGTCGACCTCCATAGATTACGATGGTTGGGGTATGAGTTACACATGTCACCAAATAGGTCACCACAGCGCGAGATGTTTGCCGAGGCAGGTAGTGGCTGGGAAAAGGTCATGAGCAGTCAAACTAAGACCTGACATGAGAGTATGAAAACCCTAACCAGGAGTCTGGGTCACATAGGCCCCGTCAGGCTCCATGGATGGGGACCTCGGAATGATCATACCCGATGGTTAGAGACAATGGGTGATATGGTTGCGTGTCGTAAACAGTGGCGTTCGTGCATCTTGTCGATTTCTCTGCAAAATTAGTGCAATGAAATCCTAAATTTTCTCTTCGATCATACTTTCCTGTCTCGCTCCTTATGTTCATCCAAAAGACAGCAACGAAAACCGGCGCACGATAGTGCATGTTTAATGGTTGTAGAAACTGAAACTTAGTCGCTGTCACCAGCGTGCCTTGCGCCCTGTGGTTCCACGTTTGAGCCCTGCCACCGACACTCAACTTCGGTGGTAGGCAGCTTTGCGGTCGCCTGGTTCTATACCACACCTGAGCTAGCGGGGCCGTATAAGAGTTCACCACTCCCAGCCCCGGGGTTTAGGTTACTGGTTACTATCATTGAACAGGTCTTCGTGACTATGGGGTTCCACCCCGTCTGCTGTTCATCACACACTAGTATGTAATAATGAAAAAGTCACAGGGAGCTTCGTCCCTTTTGATATTTATTGTTTCTAAATTCAGTATGCAAAGGGTTTCAAACACAGTCTACTTGGGTGAGCCAACGGCTTCAATCGCTGTCACGGGCGTGCTCCGGTCCCAAATATCAGACATTTGAACCGTGGTTCTGAGTAGAGAAGGCTATTCCCGTTTTCTGGGGGGTCAGCTAGCAGTCACACACACAAAATCAGACAACTCACCAATCCGGTTGTCGATTGAACAGCGCGGAAGAGGGATGAATGTAGACAACTTGTTGATCGACCAAAGTTCGATAGCCCTCCTGTGGATCTTTCTTGGCAGCGTTTCGGAAGAAACCGGAGAGAATAGCTTTCTGAACCAATGCGGTCTTTTTCCCGCACGAGACCACATCCAATTTGTGCCTGGCAAAGTGTATTGACGGAGACAGGGAGAGACAGACAAATATGAAT